TTATTGCCAAAGAAGGACAACCATAAGGGCTGATCAGTGGATACGTGACTGACAGCAAAGGCCTCATCGCCTATATCTTTGACATAACCCTCAATACGAATGGACTCTACTTTTGTCAGGTTTTTGAAGGCATTACTACCGATACTCGTGAGGGACGGACTCAACGCAATATCAATCCGTTGGAGACTTGGGTGCGATTGTAGGGCATTGTCGGGTATCTTGGTCAAATTAGTATACGCGAGGTTAATATAATATAAATTTGCGGCAAGGTTAATCGCTTTAAATACGTCCCAATCTCCGTCCCCATCAACAAGCGGAGAGTGAGTGTATAAATTTTTCAACGTATCCTGTGTTCCATTGAGTGCCAACCGATGTACCTTGGTCAACTTTTTACCATCTAACTCAACATTTTGAAATGTGATGTCAGCGAACACATTGGCCGGCAATACGTCCACCGCATCGTTAAATTGCATGAAAAAGAGGTAATCTTTTTCATCGGCTTTTAATTCATGGCTCAGTCTCTGGAAAAGGGCCGTCAGATTGATTGGTTGGTCACCCTTACAATAAATGCTTCTGTAGAAGGGCAGTATACCGGGGTCAACAAGGCATTCACATGGTAGAAATATATCAGGGTTAGGTGGACACTTATAATCGGCTATTATGCCACCGAATAGTGTCAATAATGTGACAATTAATAGTTTATCTGGATTGATTAAAAAAATATATTAATTTATTTAATGATTCAACATTTAATTAAACAATTTTTTAGTAACTAAATGTAGTTTATACAATACTTACTCATTTTACTTAAAGTTAAGAAGTAGTGATTTAACTATTTTAGTAGTATTATAACTATAAATACAAAACACTTTCTGTATTTATACTTTTCAAAAAGCATTACAAACAATATCAACCTTAGTTATTTAACATTAAACCATTAATTGCTAACTGTCTTATAGATAATTTTTTTAATCCTAGTATATTGTGTAAATATCTATCAATGATCACTTTTGAACAAACAATTATTTCACCATTTATCTACAGAATGAACAAATAGATATAAGAGTATTGTCAGTTAATTGAGCAATCATTATGCCCAATGCACTAATTAAAGTGGATTATCACAGGTACCGTGGTATATCAAAATACTTTCTATACTACTTTATATATCTTTCGTTTAAACTAATTGTAAGTGTATTAAGTAAAATATCATTATAATCGAAACATATAAGTTGTAATTATTTACGCTAATTAATTTCATCGTGTATTGTAATATCGATATGATGCACTAGCTTAAACTTTAAAAAAACTGTAAACAGTGGACAATTTTTATTAATTTTAATTAGCAAGACACAATGTGTATAAATAAAGCCAATATTCAGTGGAAAGGATACACTGTTTTAAAACGACTTGGGCTTACTTGGGGAATACTTTTGAACAAACAATTATTTCACCATTTATGTACAGAATGGCCAAATAGATAACTTGATAAGTTTACACATAATTTAATTATCATTTTGATTTTTTGTAGCTCATGTACTTAACTTAATATCAATCAATAACAAACTAGGTTATATAATATTGCAACATTATTTGTAAAACCTTTTATTGATTATATGAACTGTTTGATTCTAATCTGTGTCAGGCTCAAATTCAAACTTAATACTGTGAGCTATACAGTATGTTGATACATTGGTATTATCTATAAACTATGGTTCATTATAATGTATTTCTATTTGTACTTGACATAGATTGGAATTGAACGGTTTATATTTAATATCAAGTTTTTAATACTTATTTCATAATTATTAACTAATGTTTCTAGATCAATTTCGAGTAGCTTTATCAGAGGCTTATATCCAACGCCTTACACTTACCTTATATTAAGTTAAGTACATGAGCTACAAAAAATCAAAATGATAATTAAATTATGTGTAAACTTATTAAGTTATCTATTTGTTCATTGTGTAAATAAATGGTGAAATAATTGTTTGTTCAAAAGTATTCATTGATAGAGATTTACATTATTCTATAATATATCAAATAAAAATTATCTCCAACACAATTAGCAATTAATGATGAAAGACTAAATAACCATGGTTGATAGTGATTGTAGTAGTACTATTATTAAAGGTATAAATAGAGAAAGTGTTTTGTATTTATAGTTATACAGAAATACTACTATAATAGTTAAATCATTACCTCTTAACTTTGAGTAAAATGAGTAAGTACAGTACACATTACATTAAGTTATTATCAAATTGTTTAATTAAATATTGTATTATTTAATAAATTAATATATTTTTAAAATTAATACAGATAAACTATTAATTGTCACATTATTAACATTATTGGGTGGCATAATAGCCGATTATAAGTGTCCACCTAACCCTGATATATTTCTACCATGTGAATGCATTGTTGACCCTGGTGTACTGCCCTTCTACAGAAGCATTTATTGTAAGGGTGACCAACCCATCAATCTGACGGCCCTTTTTCAGAGACTGAGCCATGAATTAAAAGCCGATGAAAAAGATTACCTCCATTTCATGCTATTCAACAAAGCGGTGGACGTATTGCCGGCTAATGTTTTTGCTGACATCACATTTCAACATGTTGAGTTAGATGGTAAAAATTTGACCAAGGTACATCGCTTAGCTCTCAACGGAACACAGGATACGTTGAAAAGTTTAGGAACTATAAACTCTCCGCTTGTTAATGGGGACGGGGATTGGGATGTATTTAAAGCGATTAACATTGCGCAAAATTTAACATACGTAAGCCTGGCGTATACTAATTTGACCAAGATACCTGACAATGCCCTACAATCGCACCCAAGTCTGGAAAGGATTGAGATCGCTTTGAGTCCGTCCCTCACGAGTATCGGTAGTAATGCCTTCAAAAACCTGACAAAAGTAGAGTCCATTCGTATCGAGGGTTATGTCAAAGATATAGGCGATGAGGCCTTTGCTGTCAGTCA